CCTGTGGGCGCGCCGGGTAGCCAGCAGCTAGGATAACGGGCAACCCGTCTTCCCTGTCGGAAAAACATATTTAGTAAAAGCGTTCATTTTGTCCGTCTTCAGACTTAATCATGATCTAACTTCCCAACCGTAAGAAACAGCTGTTCCCATGGTTTGCGGACGTCTGAGGCGCCTAGATCGGCATATAAGGCTTCCAGTCTGAGAAACCGATCCATTATTAAGTTGAAGATGAGTAAATTATCGTATTCAACAGGCTGCAAACACTCTTGTGAGAGAGGATAAATAAAATCCGATGGAAGAATCAGAACTAGGGAGTACCCTGAATATGGCTTTATTCGTCATACAATTTGTGCATCGGTACTCAACTGCGAAACAGAACAACAATTATTAAAATGGTATGGATTAGGACAGTACACTGATATATCAGGCGATTTTAATGAAGCTATTTGCAGACCAGCCGTTTATACGATTTGCCGCTAGGATCCCAGTTGTTTGACACTGTGCAGGTCTGAGAGTCCAAGGGGTAATGAAAAATAATGCCATCAGAACCTCCCGTATTCACGAAACTTTAAAAAAAGGGTGAGCACAGGCCAAAAGTTTGCCATCACTGATGTCTGCATTGTCCCGAAAACCTTAATCCAGTCTGTTTTTGCGCTAGATCCGTTCTTAGATTACCTGGTTGGACGATCATCGGTGTTGTTTGTCCACAGTTGTTGGCCGACTGGAAATGCAGAATAAGTGGTTCTGATGGTGTGCCCCTGTTCATCCTCCAGGCTACTCGTTTATAAACGTCGGCTATGACAGCCGACGTGGTATTAACATCGTCACTGCAGGTGACAGCAATAATTCCTCTTGTTTCGTATCCTCAAATAAATTAATGCTTATTTGCCACATTGCGTACCGCAAGATGTAGACCTTTGCCAAGGACGATAAGGCGAATGCGAGGATTTTTGCGCCGAGTGCGCGTTTCACTGTCCGGAACTGTCAAAGATTCGTTCTGATCTCAGGATTCTGAACCCAAGCCCTCCTCATTGCTGATCACACAGCACAGATTGCCAGAAGTAAACGACTGGTGCTCCTGTTTTTTGCTGTAGGTTAGGGATGTGTGCGCTGCTAGGCTCTTCCTTGTCAGTTATGTTGTCATAACTTTATCTAGCTTTTCAAAAAGTGTAACGGACGATTTTGGTAACAGACTAGAGGGGCGACGAACCTAACAGACGTGGCTGCCGAAAAGGCGCCTTCTTTATGATTTTCTTATGTCTGCTTCACTAGACTAGGAGTGCCTTAACAGGTTCTCTCTTAAACTTCATGATCAAGCTTTTGACTGGATGAGGTTAAGGTTACGATAATTATGACAGCCTAGTTTCCTACCAGCGAACTTGGGTCTTACCAAGTAATCTTATTACTGCATTGCCTTCGCACTTCGCAGCGTTTGTTTATTACCAGACCCCTGAATTCGCTAGCTAAGGACAGTCGGAATGAAACTAAATTTCCTAGAAAAACGGTGGTCTTGCCACTGTTTTCAGGCCTTTTTACGCATCTGTTCGTTAAACAAAGCCAAGATGGAAGAGGAAGCATCATCTGATGGCGCAACAAATTCTGCGACCCTTTCAACTGCCAATAAGCCTTGCACATACACGCAGCGGCGGGCATGCTTGTTTACCGTTTTACGCCGAGAAGCAGGTGTTTCATGCGTCTTTTCAAGCTAGCTGATCAATTATTATGTATATTTTCATGGCACTCGCCCGGCTCTGTTTGCCCCTATTGTTTCCAATGTAAGCAGAATAAAAGTGCGAATAGTTTTTGTCCTCCACCTGACGCCTTCCCTTCGATGCTTGTATGACAAATGCCTTCTTTTCGCTTGCTCCTTTAGCCCTGTTTCTGAAGCGATATTTTCTTTTTAAAGTTTTAGTGCTTCATCCCTTCTTTTCTGTACGAATCCTGCCTCCGAATTTATTTCAATAATGACATCGGAGAATCAAAAGAAACTGGGCATGACCCAGGATACGAACGAGCTCGGCGTTCCGGAGCCTATGGATACAGAAGTCGCCAATTTTAACTCCAACATGCGAGTCACGGACGCCGTTTGTCCGGCTCTTCCGCCCAATCAACTTCCACAGGATATGGTACCTCTTAGTTGCACTCGATTTTTCTCTGGCTTAGTTAAGTACTACTTGAGCTCTTTTATGATGTTAATCGCATCACGAGACCGCGCTGCCGTCAGTGGACGCCTTCGAGGCCGCTGGCGTAAGCCGATTCCTGAGGTGAAGGGTTTGGCAAACCTGTCCAGGTCATTAACCGCCAACGTCATTCCAGGTTTGCTGTCCGTTGACTATCGGGGTTGAGTGTAAGGCTGCTGCTCGGGACCGTCGTGATTGCAAGTTGGACTAGAAGGCTTGATTGGTAGCAACAGAACCTGCTCATATCACTGAACATGTTTATGGTTAAGTTAGGTATAAGCGTATGTCAATCAACCTTGAGCACAGGGGACTAACAAGCTCCAAAATACGGTCCTAGGGATCAAAGCGGCGACCGTCTAGCCTCGAGCTAAGTACTTATTTTACCAATTTGAATCGTCCTCGTGATTTAAGTTTTCACCAACTGGACAGTCTTAACGTGTTTGATGCCTTGCAGGACTTGGGCCAGCGCACACGCTTCACGTACTTGTCTAAAGAGATGGTTTAAAATTGGAAGTTGCCTTGGGATGTCTTTTATGTAAATGTGAAGTTGGTTGCTCAGAATACCAATCACAGTTCTCCGCAACGTAGACGGCGCTGGTGAAGTATCACCAAATCATTTCTTTCTCATGAGACCTAGCTGTCCTAATAGTAGTCTGTGTAATGCCTTTTATTAATGTACTTGCTGATGTTAGTCTTGACCGCGTATAAGTCAACTTATGCTCCTTACCGTGTTTCCTCTCCAACAGGAAGTTGGCAAGCCCTTTGCTGTCTCCGAAACAACTCTTTCGGACAGCCTTGGCATAGGAAAAACCGGCAGCAGTGAGGCTTTTGCCGAAGAATGCGTCTCGCGATCCTCCGGTGTTTTGGAGTATGTCTTCAAAAACATTGAAGATCCTCGGGTATGCTAAGTCCACGTTCTGTTATTCTCTGAAATTTGGTAGCTTAGTTCTTCTTTTCTGTTAGGTTCTTTTTGTCCTTCACTCACATTCGTCCGCCAACTAAAGCCTTATTTTCTTCGCATTACAGAAAGTCGACATCAGAAACGAAATCCGTGTAAGTTTCTCCGTCCACTCCTCCGACCAGGGAGTTTTGCCTATTCTGTAGTGTCCGTCTTCATTTCTCCTGTTTTTCCGAATTGCCATTTAAAGGTCTCAGCGTAGTAATATAAGTTAGTTTGTGCTAAGGCCACCCATGGCTTTTGTATCGTTCACATGCGACGGGAAGTAGTGCAGTCCTTAGTCTTGGAATTTGCAAATCAACCTGCAGAGCTTACCTTTGTCAGGCCGTTTCAGTGAGCTCTTGCCATATTTACTCAGCCGAACTAGTGATCGTCTTGTTGATTTGTACTGACTTTCCGCGCCTGTGTTTTCAGCTCCTTAGTGACGCATCGATGATTCGTTGCCTTCCCTGGAAGATTTTGCTTGTCTTCCCGCGGCCTGAATCTCGGAACGCCATGGGCATGTTTCTGCAGTGTAACGCTGAGAGTCCCTCCACCACCTGGACCTGTTACGCACGAGCCAGCCTTGAACTTGTCTCACAAAATAAGCGTGTGAATAACAAGAAGCTTCGCATTCGTCACACCTTCGCTCACAAGGAAAACGATTGGGGCTACCAGACTTTCATACCCTACAACGATCTCTTCAATCCCGAAAATGGCTACGTTGTCAATAACACCATTTGTGCTCGCATAACTGTCGAGGCCGACGCGCCACATGGGGCTGAATGGGACTCAAAACGCTTCACTGGATTTGTGGGCTTAAAGAACCAGGGTGCAACCTGCTATCTAAACTCCGTGCTGCAAGCTCTCTACTGCACAAATTGCCTTCGTTCAGCCGTGTTTCGCATGCCTACAGAGAGTGATGACAGTCTCACCAGTGTCCCGCTTGCGTTGCAACGCACCTTCTACGAACTCCAGACCTCTGCGCATGCAGTTTGTACTGAGAAGTTGACCCGTAGCTTCGGCTGGGCCACTTGGGATTCTTTCATGCAGCACGATGCTCAAGAATTGTGCAGGGTTCTGTTAGACAACATTGAGAACAAGATGAAGGGTACAACCGTGGAGGACATCATACCAAATCTGTTTAGTGGCAAAATGGTCTCCTACATCAAGTGTACGCAAGTTAACTATGAATCGAAGCGAGAGGAAAATTTCTATGACATTCAGCTAAAGGTCAACGGCAACAAGGATGTTCATGCTGCTTTTAAGGAGTACATACAGGTGGAGATGTTGGCTAATGATAACAAGTACGACGCCGGCAAGTATGGCCTTCAGGAGGCTGAAAAGGGCGTCAAGTTTATCAAATTTCCTCCGGTCCTCTACCTCCAGCTAATGCGTTTCCAGTATGACTTTCATTCGAACACCAATGTGAAAATAAACGACCGTTTTGAATTCCCCTATGACCTTGACCTGAAGGATTATGTTCTGGATCCGGCGGAGGCGCAGTACACTGATTACTTCCTTCACGCCGTTCTGGTGCATTCCGGAGATCACCATGGTGGACACTATGTCGTTTATATTAATCCACTTGGGGATAAAGAATGGTATCAATTCGATGACGACGTAGTCTCCAAGTGCTCATCAAGGGATGCTATTGAAATGGTGAGTTGTACATCTACTCTTCTCTATTCCTGTCCGTGTATTGTCAGCTGGTCGAACCATTTGCCCATTTTCACAGTTATTAAGATTATAGTAAATTGTGTATTTTATAGTAATAGTCGTCCTCGTTTGGAATGCACAGGGTGTCCAGAGATAAGTAGCCACTTTGTTCGATTGGCAGACTCACCAAATGTATGACTACACGAGGCAGTCACTTCACTTGGGCCCTACCTGGAATTCAACTGTTCCTTCTGTGACTATGGAGTTGGACTGAGCACAGCGGCCACACTCCCTGTAACCGCATGGACTAGTAGACGAAAGCAGATGAAGGTCAACCGATGTATTTCTCCAGCAGCAGTGAATTTGGGTGTGAGAAACCCTGTCGATTTGTAGGGTGGGTCCAGCCGTGTTGTGGTACGCCTGAACGAGGTCCATATGCCGGTACGGCCACTGCGCTCTTTCTCCCGGTAAATTGGCATCCACTTGAATGCCAGTTTGTGGTACTACAATGTCTCTGGCAGAGCAACAGTGGCATGTGCGCGATTGAGATTATGGTGCGGGAGACTTGCGTGGCATATACCCCACTATCCCATTCCCTCGTTCGCCATGTTTTAGCATCGAGGCAAGGTCCAAACCACCAGACATAGTGGCCGATCTGACATGAAGCCCGCGTCCAGTCGCGACACGCACGAGCGGGTCCCTACATGGCTATCCACGAGACCTTTTAAAACCCAGGTCTTTCATCGGCAAGAGTTATCACATTAGGAATGGACCACAGAATAGATGTATCCCAACAGTTAGCAACCTCCAAAGCCGCGACTTCAGGGACAAGTCCGGGCCAGACGGCCTAGAGGTGAGATAGGGTGCAGTAGCCAAAATGACCTAAAGTACTGTTTCATGGGTATTAGCCACCGTTTAGATTTATGAGACAATATGGCCTGTTTTGGAAGTCTACTCGAACAGCAGTAGACTGTTCTAGGAACTTGGGGCGTAGTGCCGCGAATTTTGTATCTTCGTATATGTCATCGCCTCACCCATCGCAAATCTGTCGTTAACTGCGGTGAAAAACGCTACTAGTCCTGACGATTTTTCAAGACATGGTTTGGAGCTGGGCGGTTGATCGAAAGGAAAGCAGTGTAGACTTGGCGTTAGTATCTTCCTCAGCTGTAGTTTTGGAGAACTTTGCGGCTTTAATTCATAGTTCGTAGGTGGTGCCTTCGGCCTCTTACCGCTTCCACTCTGAGGACTCCAATCACTACATGTACTTCCCTGCCCCATCAAATTCGCCTTGGCCGCTTACCCACGCGCAGGTCTCATGCTCAGGGTTGAGTCCGTACGTCTACCAGTCAGCGCTTCATAAATAATCAGTTCCTTGTTGCTGGATACCCACTGAAATTTACAACTACTTGCCCCACCACCGCCTTACCCGTTCTCTCGTGTCTCTCTGAATGCAGAACTATGGAAACTCGGAGGATCCGGATATTCGGGCCTATACAAATGCTTACATGTTGGTTTATATTGCAAAGAATGCCAAGGAGGAGGTATTGTGTCCAGTCACGGAGAGGGATATACCACCGTCATTGCGCTCCCGCTTCTTGGAGGAACAGAGTGTTGATGAACAAAAACAGAAGTTCAAGGACAGTGCGCATGAATTCCTCACGGTCAACATCCTTCTCGAGGAAGACTTTAACGGCTACGAAGTAGGTTTACTTCCCCTCTAACTTGTTGCTACTCATCCACTTCATACATTTGCCTTTTCAGTCTTTGCTCGGTTTCCATCTAACCCTCTGTCTGAAGTAGCCTGTGCTCGCCACAGTTAGTCATAGGATTTTTAAAAACGCCCAGTTTTTACGAATATGGGTAAGATGTGGTTATGCAGCCGAACCTGATGGACACAATACTGTTTACCTACCTAATTATTTTGAGTTAATGTGATTACCTTGGCATGGTGTTGCTGTGCGTTGCAGTGTGTGTTCTGTTGGGGGCCTTGTTTCTTTGTTGTCATGTCTACCTTTTTCGGCCCGATGCCGGTGGTCCTTCTTGACTTTCGGCCTGTCGTCTCCTTCTAACTTTCGCATTGGATGTTTCAGGCTTAGGGTTTGGGACTGCGGTTAAGGGTTAGGGTTAAAGGTCAGGTGTGGTCATGTAGCCGCTCCCGAGGTAAACGAACCCCAGCCATTCGTAATACGGGACCGGCGGTAATAGGGGTTTTTGCAGGTGGGGCCGGGGAACGCACAGGCGACGAGGTCAAGTAATTGTGTGTAAAAGAAAAGCTATTGGGAATGCGCGGTTGTACTTTGAATGGTTGAGAAATAGTTGCCCTTAACCTTAACCCTGAAACATCCAGTGCGAAAGTTAGAAGGAGACGACAGGCCGAAAGTCAAGAAAGACCACCGGCATTGGGCCGAAAAAGGTACACACGGCAAAAAAGAAACAAGGCCGCTAACAGAATACACACCGCAACGCACAGCAAGACCATGCCAAAGTAATCAGATAAACTCAAAATAATTAGGTAGGTCAACAGTATTGTTTCCATCAGGTGCGGCTGCATAACCACTTCTTACCCGAATATTAGTTCATCGTGGTGTACGAGTTTATCAGGTTTACCACTAGAAGTAGCAACAGGTACTACCGCCGTGTGGCACATTTTTTCAGTCAGCGCTCGTCACAAAGCAGGTAGGTCCTCGTGCCTTGATAGGCCGCCTTCCCGCACATCGTACCCCGGTATCATCCAGTTCAGTGTATCCTGCATTCTGCCACCGACCGACAAGCTTCCAGAAACCGAGGACTGTGGGACTGGAAAATCTCCCCTAGCTCTTGCTTGCTGCATTGATATAAATCAGACCTGACCGACATACTCTAGGAGGCTACGATGGAGGGGAGGTGCTGCAGATGGAATTCTTGCGAAGTCCGTGAAGCAAGGAGTTGGCGAAAGTTCTCGGTACCTCTAGTGCTGCTCACTGTTGGTCGATAGTGGGTCTCCGCGTTTGAGGCACAGCTCAATAGTTGAGTCCCGCGTATGCTCCGGAGAGGCTCCAGTTATCACACACGCACACACTGTGTTTTTATCAGACAGGGGTGCAATGAGGTGGTTGGACTTTGTGTTGAATTTCTGGCCTGTGCTCTGCCATTTATTTCCTCTAATACTGGGCGGTAGGAAACCAGCTGCGTTTTTATGAAAATCCAGGTTATGGTTATTTTGTCTTACCTCCTGCTCCTCCACCACGTCTCGAACTTGGTCCGCTGTCAGACCGGCGTTTTAGACGTCCAGCATTTTGTTGAGCGGCTTTTGTGAAGGAATGAGTGACACGCAAGTACGCTGTCACTGACTCGTTTGTACCTGTTGTGACACTGTGCGCGGGTCTACAGTTGATTATTGTCAAGTCTCACCCCTGCGTGGATAGATTGATTTCATACATTTTTTACGCACTGTTGAGCATGTAAGGGGTAATATCCGTTAGCTAGACATCGGTGATGACTAGACGACCGGAGAATTCTGCTCTGACACAATTGACTCGATCGAGACTGGCCCTGACTCCACTTTCGGCGTGCACTTCAACAATTTGCAAGATTAACTGCAGTCCTGAGTGGGCACGTTGCGATCCTATGGTCGCTCGCTCGTCCAACGACTCTGTCAGATATCCCTCTCGCCCAGACAGCACTTTCGTGGTACGGAAGCTTAGGCCGTACTGCCTTCATCTTGGGATCATAACAGGTGACTATTATGTGGATAGTGGTCATACATTTGATCGGAATTGAGGTTAAATTATCAAAACCTGCCAGGCGAGTGAATTATCTCCCTCGGCAGTCTGTCCCGTCACCTTGTCGGTTTTGACTACCACTTGCCGGCCTTCAAACAAGCAACCTTGTCAAATTCTGTATGTGGTCCTGCCTTGGAAATTTTCTCCTGGAGAAAGTGCATTCAGACTGCTCTATCTATGGCGTTTTTGTAGGGTCCTGAAATCTTTCGGCTTGACCTTCTCCCTGTGCGTTCAGTTCGTGTCCGAAAAGATGTCGATGGCAAAAAGCTAGTTAAAGAGGTTGCCAAGGCGTTGGAGTGGGATCCAGCCACCACTCGACTGTGGCAGGTCAGCCAGCGGTGAGTTGCACTTTTTCCCAACACATTCCGTTCTTTTTGAGTTACTGTGCCTTCCATATCCCAAAGCATGCCTGTGTGCGGGGTTATCATCCACCCACCCACCGTGAACCCGCCTCTCCACATGAATCCCTACACTTATATTATTCATCAAAATCATATGCCCGCAGATTTACGCTCTCGAGTTGAGGCCCTAGTAAGCCTACTGCGGTTCGCTCATTACATATGCTTCATTTGACCCAATTGAGAAAAATTCTGAGACTTCTGTGGGATTCGAATTCGCGACAGCGAGGACAAGGCTTGGGCACAGCCATCGTTCTGACCACCGGAGCTACCAGGCCCCTATCGACAGCAGCGAGTTTTATGGCAAATTTGAGTGCCCTTGCTTGCCACGCGCTCAGCCATTTCACTGTACTACATTTCGACCCATGCAATATTCATGGTAGCCCTAAATGATCCCCTATTGCGTGTGGGACTTTGATCGTGCCCGATATAATCAGCCTCAATTTTACGTGTGTTTGGCAATTTCCGGTATCAGTAGGTCCCAGTCGCAGGGCAGCGATGACAGAAGGGCCAAATTAGCAGCGGTTCGCGTTCGTCGAGTCATCGTGCACAGTAACGGCACTTTATTGGGCAGCCGCAGTCCCCCACAACCTCAACCGCTGCTGCTGATTTGTGAATGCTTATTCACCATGGCGCAAAAGTCTGCTTATTTCACAGTCAGCCTTCACTGAAGGCCGTTCCACTAAACACACAACACATTGACTCACCATGTAGACAGCAAGTAGGATGGCGAGCTACATCGTCCTGCTAGGGGTTGCAGTAGCCAGCTTTTTCACTGGACATGCCTGTCTTGATCCAGTCAGAAGCCCATCCTGCCGCAGGGGCTTTTTAAGGGGGTGACACTTCTACGGAGAAGTTTCCAATGCAGACGAATTTGGATATATTCTCTCAGGTATACCCGTAGCCCAATATCTGCTTCTGAGTCAACCCTATGCATGTTCCTACATCTTTTATCTGTTAGACTGCCGGAGAGTAAACACTAGATTACTTTCAGTGCACGGGTATGCCAAGTGACTTGAAAACCGGAAGACTCAGCTTTCTATAAGATGACCGCAAAACAGAACCGCTTGTCAACTTTTTATAGAGCAAGCCATTGCAAGCGTGTAGTTTGTGGCCGGGACTACCTTCTCCGGCCAGCAACTGTGCTAAAAGAAAATAACTGGCGATATTGTGCGTTACCACAGAAAAAAAGATAAAAAGACTTCGTGATAGCTGTTGCGCGAGCGTGGTCAAGATGCTTTAAGGTAGTCATCGGAGTAAAAGTACGGCACTGCAATACATTTTTACAATGTTAGCAAAGGGACATTATATTTATTTACTAGTATCACTTAGTGATAGAAACTGTCCCCCTTAATTAGTGACAATATGGAGGATCGAAACTAGTGATACCACAAAGTTGTTAGGTGTTCGACAATTTCGCTCAAGGCAAACGCTCCCCGGAGTTAGTAACCCCGCCATAAGCCATACCCTTGTCCAAGCTACTTTATATAGACATACAACTAACAAAATATACGCACTGTTTAAGTTATGAACTTGTGTGTGCTCTCGGTGGAAGGACAGCATGGCCTGATATATTAATGAGCTTGTAATTATGGCCCATGCTCACCATTTTCACTACTTGCTAGGGCAATCTTTTGTATTTGGAAACGTTTTTGCATACTTCAGTTGTTTCAGCACGTGTTTCGGGCTATACCTAACTTGAGAATGTTCGTTCGTCTAATAAGGCCACTGCTGCCTCAGTTCCCTCAGTCAGAGTCGCCCCATCCTTTGGTGTTAGCTTAAATCTCGGGACGGTGAGGCTAGGTTATATACCCCCCTCCGGGTCGGTTATTCAAAAATCTACTTATCCTGTCTAAGTAGGTGCGGTGTGGCCCAAGGCACAACGGGACGAATGAGTTCCGTAGCGCGATCGGTGAGCTCCCCTCTATCGTTGTTCATATACCCGATCGTAACCGACAAGATAACGAGCCCATGGCCCAGTGCTGAAGACTTCGGACTTCTAACCAACAGGTCGCAAGGTCGAGCCCCGGGGTTTGCACACCTCTGGGTCTGGTGTGGCCGACTGCGACGGCTAATCAACCGGAAATGGCCATCACAGTCTCCCTTGTCTTTGTCGACAATGGCTCATAACGGTTTGCCTGACGAAAGGTTACTAAAGGGATCATGCGGCACGCGGATTTTGATTTTCACTAAGGATTTAAGACCTAGGGTTAGGATTGCGATTATGTGTGGGTTTTCATTAAATGCCTGCGGGATTGCCCATTACAGCCATGCTCACGTTTGGTGTTAGGGTTGTGGCCAACTACAATTTCGCCCGAGGAGTTGCCTACCATACCCTTGCCGTTGGAACTTGTCATGTTTTCGAGCGTCTGCCTCCAGTAGCTGTTGATTAATTGTGCAGACTGTGCTATAATCTTTGCATGCCCGAAAAGTACTTCCATCCTGGTTGCAGCCGGCCCAACTAACACGCATTCTTTTCTTCCTTTTATTTCAGCGAGAAGGGCAGTTACTTGATTGAATTTAACCTGCCGAAACTCACTGAACCCTGCTTGAGCTCCACCCTGATATTTTGGGCCCAACAAGTCCCGGCAAATCTAACTGGCACTCCCCTCTCCCTGACTGCCTCATCCCCGCCAGCCAGTCGGCTCTTCTTTTTCAAGTACTTCGACCCCATTTCTTGTACTCTCTCGTTTTGCGGAAGCCTGGAGCTGAATAGCACAGTGCCGGCTACCTACCTTCCCCGCGTTCTGAGAGAGCGAGCCGGATTGCCTCCGGACACGCCTTTGATCTTCTTCAGGGAATTTGTAAATCGCGTTATCCAGGCAATTGAACCGGCATCATTGCTGACGCCGCCATCCAGATCAGGCATCCACGGCGAGGTCATATTCTTTCAGGTGCGCTTTCCTTCTTCCGCAAATTTTTGAAGACGATGATTTCGTGTAACGGCTACTAGGCATCTCACGTCTTCAGACCGCTGACTTTCGCATTTCCTATCCACGCGCACAAGTAGCTTCGAATTGGCCGTACAGATGCGGTCTTCAAGGTATAATTTAGATGTTCATTTGTTCCAACGCCAGCCTCGTTCCCCCCCCCCCCCCCCCCCATCCCCCGAAAATTCATCCAGTCGCTGTCGGTAACCTCTAACGTAGTTTCATAAAAATTAACTCCTTTTCATAAGTAGCGTTTTATAATGGACAGTAAGATATCAGTAAATGTATGAAGTAATTTCAAGTTAAGTCTGCGTTTAGTACGATTTCGCCTAGAGAATCGCCTCGTGTCCTATATATGTCACTCTGTAAAACATAGACTGCGGCCCTCAGATATGCTCTCGAGTGCAACGGCCTACCAGAGTACATACAGTAGATGTGCAATCTCATGAAATGTTGACGGAAATTCTGAAATTCATTTTCAAATCGAAAATATTATTTAAGTAGGGCTGTCATGGTAATTATCGTGTCGCCTAATGCCAACAAATTCCAGTCACGTCGGGATACCGACTTTCGAATGAGCTCCTTATCGACCGCCTGTGTAAACTATATTCTGTAAAAAGTGGTCACTTGAGTGTTATGAGTTTTCCCCATTGACTTCCGATGTCCTCATGTATTCAAGTATATGTTGTAAAGTGTGACCAACAATATGTTTTCCTTCACTCATTCGGTAGTAAATTACGCCTTTTTCCAATGTACTTATAGAAGAGGTATCCTTTGACTTTCATGGAATTTTTCCAGAGCGCGAAATATACAATAGCATAGCATCACATCAGCACATTTTTAATGTTGCTGAAGGGGTGAACAGTATAGTCCAAATCCACTAAAAAATTTCGTGCCCCCCTCCCGCTGTGTCAGTTAATGTGTCCGAGGATAGAAAAACGCGGTTGTTCTTATTTTACCGTCAGTCGAGTTGGATGTCGTTAAACAACCTCAACCTATCGAGTTCAGGTCGTAGTTCCGATCCAATCTAACAGAGCGATCCCTCCATCGGTGCCAGCACCCGGAAGTCCTTCCCGTTATCAGTTGTATTACGCTTGCTCGACCGCCGTGCCCGACGATGTCCATCGTGTGCTCTACAGCGAGGTGAAGCAGACACGGTGGCTTACGCGTGCATTGGGTCCTAGTGAGGGTAGACTTTCGCAGCATCTACCGCACTCTCCACACTGAACGCGGTGTCAGGACATGGTCAAGAAGACCGGAGGTGAGGGAGGGCGCAGGTGGCTGTTACGGCCGGAGCCCCACCTAGGCATAGCACTCCACCCCCCCCCCCTCCCTGGTTTACAACAAGCACTTGAGCAGGCTTTTAACCAACAACAACAGGACCACAACGGGTCCGGGTGACGAGGATGATTGGGCAGCCATGCTCACGGTCTGTATATCCAGCGGGAGTGCAAGCGTATCTACCGTCAGAGAAATGCCAACGCATACCAAGCGGTTAGCTGATCCCGGCAAAGCATATGCTTACGGACCTTTGCGCTATGTCCTCCTCATAATAGCATGTAGATATGAATAATTTTCCATACCCGGAAAGTATACAGCTTGTGGTTCGGAAACTTCGGATACAACTGTGACGGCAGGTCGAGGTCACAATTATTCGGGAACTGAAGTTTCTCAAAACCGAAAGTTATTCCTTCTTCAAGTATGAAATTTGACGAATACGTGATGTGCTACCAGAAAAGTAGGAAAAAGAATATTTGTGTGCATGCTTCCTACAAAATGTATTTGGACATATTAAGACATCGAAAATCAATAGGAAAAATGCATACTACCAAAGTGGTCATCTTCACGGAATATAGTTTATGCAGGCGGTCGATAAGAGGCCCATTCGAAAGCCAGCATCCTGACGTGCTTGTAATATCTTAACATTGTAGGACATGGTAGTATGACAACCCTATCTGAGTAATTTTTTCCAACTGAAAATAAATTTCAAAATTTCATGAGATAGCCTATCTGCCGTGATTTCAATTTTTTCCCTCTGGGCACCATGCTGGCGTTTGCATGAGCATATTTTCAGCCCCTACACTCAACCTCTTTGCCGAAAAGGAGAGATAAGCCTTTTTATTGCTTATTCCAGCTTTATTGGAAAGTGCGTCTTCTTCGGTGTTGGGATTTCAAGGAATGTTGTGCATCACCTTTAAAAGCATTGTGTATTACTATGCATTTCGGAAGAACCCGCGTCTTCATTTGTGTCTCGGGTTTCTGTCTTCTCTGCTCAAAGTGCATTCATTCGCACGCACGTCCCTTGTGAAAAGACCATTTATTATTTATGAAGTATTGTGATAGATGTGGATCCCGTCACATACCTCGCAACCAGCAGTGACAAACCCATGGATGTTAGATAGCGTGGACGCGCAAGCTTGTAAGATTTTCTATCACAAATTTGGTTTCTCAATTGTGGTGCTGAGTTCTTCCATGTTTGGCGACGCACTTTTCTGCAAAATGAGCGTAACAGGTGAATTTTTAATGTCCAGTTTAGGAGGGAAGTGTTTGAATTTACAAAGTATATTTTTACTTTGTAAATTCAAACACTTCCCACTGAAAAAGACGAGCTCATTTTTGAATAATCCATCTACGGGCTGCACAGATACAAAGTAAAAGCTCCCCAGGTGCGCTTTTTTCGCCGATTTTGTGTCCCCGCGAGGTAATCCCAAATTCCGCTGAAACTGATGGATTTCAGCCCATATATTCATATTGACTTTCGTACCGAGCCTGAGGTTTTCTCCGAAGAACTTGCGCATTACTTTCCGAGCGAATTAAAAGGCTGAAGTATCTACCAGAAGGCTCACTGAAGACGCGCTGGTAAGTTGAAGTTCTCTCATCCGTGTCAATCGTTTACCACTGACAAGCTGCCGACAGGCAGTCGGAAGTATATGTGGTTCTGGCACCTGGTTCGCTGTCGGTAGATGCGCTTGCGCTCCCGCTGGATATACAGGTCATGAGCATGGCTGCCCATGTTGGCGTGTTGTTGGTTAAAATCCTGGTCAAGTGCTTGCTGTGGATCAAGGGGTGTGGTGGTACGCCTAGGTGCAGGTTCGGCCGTACCAGCCACCTGCGCCCTCTCCGGCCTTCTTGACTATGTCTTGACACCGGGTTCCCGTGTGAAGGAGGGGGTGCGGTAGATGCTGCGCAAGTCTACCCTCACTATAACCTAATTCACGAGCAAGTCACCGTGCGTGCTTCATCCCGCTGTGGGCACGGCGGTCGAATGATCAGTATATGCATGCGGAATGGTTTACCATACTGACAGCACGGATACAAGCTAAGAACCCCCCCCCCCCAAACACACCTGTTTTACCATTTTTGCGTCGCCGCATGACGCAGCTGCGAGCGTTTTGGCTCATCGGTGATTCCCCCAGCGTTTCACGTGTGCTTTCTGTTATGTGCTGACGTTTTTCAATGTTGCCCTTTTGTTCTCGGAAATTCACGCACAAACTTTCTGGCCAGGCCTAGAATTGTCTGTTCCGATGTACTCAAAGTTCGCCCTTCAATTTCTGAGAAATTAGAAAGCATAACAAGTGCATTTTCCTAAAATGAAACTCTTCTCCACTAGAAGTTCACATGCTACTGTGTATGAATTAATTTGGACATGTACTCCACGTTAATCATGCCTTGTTAGACAGGGTATCTAAAAATTCCAGTTAACACATGATGCATTTCGGCACACAATACATGTTTTTAAATTGTTTCTCGATACTTCCACGAGTTCCCTATCTGCCTTTATCAAAAAGAATTACCAGAAGTTTCATGTTTTAAAACCATCCAATCGGAGAATGCATCCTAAAAATGGCCCATTGAGATGCCAAGTGTTCAATTGACTAAGTCAGCCAAAATTCGAATTTTTTAGGTTCGCTTGGAAATCTTTTCAGCACTATGCCCGTGCGTTGCTTAATCCAACTGACATAGATGCAATCGTGAAGGCTCTTTTAAGAATCTCACGTTTCGAACTCCGATCTGAGTTCTGTCCATTCCAGTTAGTACCTAATGGTGCACTTGTGGCCACCCGGCTTCGGTGCTGTGCGTCACTCACCCGCATTGTTAGCAGACGTGCGACCCAATCCAGTGAAGGAAGGCGTGAACGTCCGTTTCACGGCAACACGTGTTCGTCAGCACGCTTTGCCAGTCCGGCTGGGGATTCAGTCTCTTGACCTAACCAGCAGATATCTACTCCTAATGGTATTCTGCTACCGGGAGGATAAGGCGGAAATGCGCCTCATGTTTTAAGAGACAGTGAATATGCTGAACCTTCGTTGAAACTGTTTGGTTGTCCTTAAAGAGCTATTACAGATTCAAACACCATTGTGACGGTATATTCAGGTTGCTCATTAGTGGCGTTAGCTGCAAAATCATTTCAACAAATCTGTACAGTTTTCTTGTTTCTCACACTGGCACCTTACAGTGTTTCGGCCGTCTATCTGAGAACTGTGTCCTAACACCTCACGCGGTCTTCTGCCCGAATGCTGAATAACCATGTTACTGTCTGCTCCCATCGTATGCCTAACGATGCCATCTTTTTCCACCTTTCCCTGACAGATCGATCCTGGATGCCCGCTGCTCTACAACAGCTGTCTGGTAGCCGAAGAAACTGGCAAGGATGCGGCCAGTCTGATTGGGTCCCCACACAGTCCACCTATTACCAGTACTGCAGTGGATTATGACGCCTCGTTCATTCCTGGTCCCTTGGCTAGTTCGCTACTCCGCAAAATGTCAATCAAACCCTCATCGCCCGCTGGAGCGAATGGCACTCTTCCCTCATTTGCGGATTATTATGCTTCTCGAATCACTCAGGTGAGTGTGTGTGTAGGGCGATATTATGCAGTCATGTCGCCGACATGTTAAAAGGTGTTGACTGCGACTGCATTAATCAAGAAAGATGTTTACCGACTTATGTCATGTGACTGCTGACTGTTTTGCCGTCTCTGGCCAGCCATACGTCCATCCGAAATTGGGAAGAACAGATAATTACAATCGGCTCTGTCGTCTTCTTCTGAGCCCCACTTTTTCTCTTGTCGTGACTGCGATTGAGAATATTCCAAGTTTCACGAAAATAGCGAGCTAAACTGACTCTCTGTACTGTCACGAAACTGCAATTGTCGGCGGCTAGTGTCAGTTTGCCCTATTATGTATTCTCGCACGCATGCGTGCTGCTGTGCAAATGAAGCCGTTTCTGGCCTATTAGACTTCATCAGCCACCCATTCTTGACCTCGGAGTTTCGCTAACCCGCGATTCGAACCCCGCCTCGCTCAACTGTTGAGACACAGGTCCGTTGTTATTGAACTCGAGTCTCTCGGTCCTGGCTGTGCTCAAACCGTACATTTGCCCCACTGAGGCCACCGAGTTTTTGAACAGCTTTCTGCAGTTCCCGATCACTCATATCGGCTAAAACGTACGAGGAACGCCTTCCATTGCTTAATACCTAAATCGCTGTGGGGGTAAACTACGAGGCACAAAGAATCTTGGCATACATCCGGAGCCGCTGGGCGTGCGGAGTAGCACTCGAATCGGCACGAAAAAAAGATGCTTGGAAAGGCAATTTTTTAAAAAATTGCAGGCTTCTCTCTCTTTCACTAGAAAATTCGGAGTCGTCGTTTGCTACCAAGTGAACTAGAGAGAGAATCTTTTTGTGCATGTTTTCTATAAAATACAATTGAATATGTAAGGACCACGAAAATCAGTGGGAAAATTCATGATGCGCGAGTATTCATTTCTCGCGGTGGGGATTTTTCTGGCAGTCGGAAAGAAACTCATTAAAAATTCAACATCTTGGCGTGACTGAAATACCTTTTTGAATCGAAAGCATTTCTGAACTTTGGCTAATATTTCATGAGGTAGCACACCTATATTAACATATACAGTAGCTATAATGCCATGATTATTCAGATACCTCGGTATGACGGCTTTCAAACGAACATCTTTACGGTCGCATGCAACAACTACACTCTGTAGAAAATAACTGCTTAAGTAGCAGGTATTTTTTTCATATATTTCCAATACTCCTGTAAATTCAATTATATTTCATAGAAGAACTACATAAAATATTCATTCCTTTACTCATTCGGTAGACAATTACGTCTTCTTCCATTTTTATACTCGAATAAAGGATGTGATTCAGTTTTCAAAAACTTTTTCAATTCCCGAATAGTTTTGAACCCGACCTGGGTTTCCCAACTACAAACCGTGTATTTTCTGCGTACGAAAACCATACATTTTTCTAAGGAGACCACATGTGGTCCATAAAATTTAGCATTTGATTTGAGCCATATCGTTTACTTTACAAACTACATCAGTAAGTGCAGCGACACGATGTTTAACAGACGGGCATTTCACAGTCTTGAAAAATGTCATAATTAGAGACTAAAAACCGAAATAACCCCTTTCTTAAAGTATGCAATCGGAAGAAGACGTAAATTTCTGCCGAATGAGTGAAAGAATGAATAGCTTTATGCATGTTTTCCATGAAATATGATTGAATCTATAAGGGCATCGAAAATCAATAGAAAAAATTCGTACTACTTAAGGAGCCATTTTCTACAGAGCGTGGTTTTTGCATGCGGCCGAAAAGATAATCGTTCGAAAGTCGATATCCGGAGGTATCTGAATTATTACAGAATTATGCTCCACGATGATTACTTTTAAAGCCCTACTTAAGCAATCTTTTCGAAACGAAAACGCACCTCAGAATTTCGGCCAACATTTTATCAGTTAGCACACCTACTGTATATATTGAATAACTGAGATGATACAATGAAAAAGAGACGACTCTGCGGACAGTAGAGTTGCACCTGCAAATTTTCAAATTGGTGACGCCAACCCGCCTTCAGACGAAATAACAAGGGAGAAGTGAGATCGGCAGACGAGACCCGGTTGGCGCGACAGACAGACTAACCCGAACGTTGAGATGGGAGAAGGTGAAGTGCTCGCCGGGGTGGATGGTTTAAATGACGGAAGTTTCACTCTCGTGCTCGAACGCATCATCGGGGACCGCCAAAAGTAGAAAACTACATATTTCAGATAAGTCATTTGCACTCCTGATAGGTCCACCACTCTCCTCATTGTCCTTTCATGCGCAAGTCGTCCCTTCTGGTCTCCTATGGCGCTGGTAAAGCGAAATCAGGAATATTTAGTCCGTAAAGCCTCTGACAAAGCGTAAATCGCTGTGATTTTTTCTTCATGCATCTGTTGCAGAGCAAGAGTGGTCCAAACAAAAACTTGCACAGACCTTCTGACCGACATCGATCAAACTAAGGTCTCTGCAGTGACGACATTCCGTGTTGTCTCTGATCTTGGAGAAATCAAGTCAAGCGGCATCGCTCCAGCCCTGCGGGCCAGGCTCATTGGGCCAGGAGACCCTTATCTGACTCTGTCTCTGGTGATGGATTCGAGTGAGAATCCGAAGTGTCAGGCTAGTAAAACTCTTGTTCCAGCGATCGTGTTTCCTTCTTCGCGACTGCTTCCTGGAACTCGCTTCTATTGGAACAACTCTTATAGACTTGATTAGGCAATCCATTTTGAGCCAAAGTTTTCTTGCTTTCTGTCGCTTGTTTACATCTGTGATTTAGGTGGTAGACGGCAGCCTACATTCACAGTCGTAGTGAAGGTCTGTGGTTGTGGCTGCGAAAGAACCCATTCGGGGTGAAATGTTGTCAATTGATGTAAAACTCTTTCTCAGGGCTGAGGGTCAGGCTTCAATGTCCCCTTAATGTGACATTTGCAGCATTCTCACTTATGCAAGATCCGATTCGCCCTTGACATGTGGGACGGAAACCACATCGTCTGTGTGACGCACGTGGGCGAACTCTTTAGCTTTGCCATCAAATGCACCCGTGCCCACTGTCCGCCGTCGGAGCATGGTGGTCGAGGGCGGAGAGAGTGCGATAGATAGTCCGCAGGTGTACCTTGCCATAAACTACTTCACGCCAAAGTCATCACTTTACCGCGGGACAACGGTGAACTTCGTCGCTTGTGCCAGCTAAAGTGTCTTGTGCCGTGTACCTCAGATGCTTAAAAATAACTTTTGTCGCTTAAGGCTGAATTGAACGCTAGTAGAACGTCACTTTTATGTGTGACATTTCGCCACACGGTCGCGGCTGACGGGGCTCTGATCCGGACCATAGCACCAGGGCGTCCAACTCAGATGATCTTTGACCAACTGATCCGACCTCAAATCTCAGATTTTTTGGCCTCCGATTGAGGTCTGGTTGCCTGTTGGTGACAGCTAAGCCAAAAATGCTTATTCCGGTCTCTGTCGTCTTTGTTGATATTCTTTCTGAAAACGTGTCTCAGATTACGAGTTCCTGGCCGCTTTCATTGCGCCTTACCGACGTACATTGATATGCTTTTATCGCCCTCTGTATTTTTCATGACTCTTTCCCCTTTATTCGAAATCGCCTACCGGCAAGTAACACCCCGTCTGAAAATTTTCCAAAATGGACCTTAAGGTGATAAATCCTGAGGTCTGAAGTCAAAACTTTCAGCTGCAGTAATCTCGTCATTTCCGCGTCTTCTTCTGTCCATTCCTTCCAAATTCCAGATCCGTCGATAAGTCTTCCCTAATGGTAAAACACTCAAAAGTCCACACCCAAGTTGACCTCAAATTAAACCTTTCCGCATTTCCTTTGGTATTTATTTGCCTTGCAGCGATTCTCTCCTTTGCCTCCTCCCAGACTCAGTTATTCACAGGTTCTCGCCAAATTGTTTGCCCTTAGGTGGAAATACTACTGGTAGATAAGCTTCGAAAGTCAGATCCGGGCATCCTGCTACGGCTCTCACCTTCTCTGGACTACAAAGGCTTTGCGAATCTCGTGGCCAACTACCTGTCCGCCCAGCCAGACAGACTGCAGTTTTTCACACCTCAACCGATTTCCGCGCTGAATCAGGCTCAGCAGGGTCTGCTTGGCCCGATGGGCAATGACAGCAATACCCTTTCCGGCGTCAACTTAATGGGCTCAGGAGGATCACCCGTCAACTCTGAGGCCCCCGGTGGAAATGGAAACTACTCTCCCACGGGCGCTTCTGATCTCATCTCAGTGCAGTCCATGGCCGCTAAGGCGTCGGGTAAGCACCCTTCCATAGATGTGTATTGGTATGCGTGCGTGCGTGTTTGCGCCTTGTCCCCCTAACTCATGAAACGTCAACCGAAATTCCGAAATGCGCTTTCGTTTCCAAAAGATTAATTAAGTAGGGTTGTAAAACTAGTCAGCCAGTAACATAATTCTGTAATATTTTAGTTACCTCAGGATGCCGGCTTTCGAATGAACTTCCTTCCGGCCGCATGCAAAAACTGCACTCTGTGGAAAATGACTACTTAATTAGCATACAATTGTCTCATTGATTTTCGATACCCCGAACACTCCAATTATATTTCATGGAAAGCATGCATAAAAATATTCATTCCTTCGCTCATTCGGTAGAAAATTACGTCCTCTTCTAGTTTTATACTCGAAGGAAGGGTATAATTCGCTTTTTAGAAACTTTGCCAATTCTCGAATCATTTTGAACCCACTCTGCCGTCACACCTGCATTCAGGGTTTCAAACTACAAGCCGTATATTTTCCGCGTACGGAAAACCACACGTTCCTCTACGGCAATAAAGGGGGACCATATAGGTTTCATAAAATTGAGCAGTGGATTTGATCCATATTGTTAACTTTACAAGCCACATTGGTAAATGCAGGGACATCACGATTTATGAACGGCCATTTCACGGTATTCAAAAGTACCGCAATTGAAACTTTTAAAACTGAATTGTGCCCCTCCTTCGAGCATAAAATTTGACGAAGACGTAATTTTCTACCGAATGAGCAAAAGATTGAATATTTTTATGCATGTTTTCTATGGACTATAATTGAATTCTAATAGGCATCGAAAATCAACGAGAAAATTCATGCTACTTAAGTAGTCATTTTCTACAGAGTGCAGGTTTTGCATGCAGCCGGAAGAAAGTTCATTCGCAAACCGGCATCCTGAGGTAACCGAAATATTATAGAATTGTGTTGCAGGCTGACCAGTTTTACGACCCTACCGAATTAATCTTTTGGAAACGAAAACGCATTTCGGAATTTCGGTTGACATTTCATGAGTTAGCCCACCTACTGTATATCTGAACCCGCCGGAGATGCGCTGGATCAACACAGAAGCCAAATTAGGACACGGCACGCGTTATCCGAGCTGCGTACCTATAACAAATGCCACACATCACATGTGGTGTCGCGCCGAGGCCCAGGATCACGCCGCGCCAACTACTTGCGCTTAGTCCCTGCGTCAGATGTCTCACGGACTGGTGCCTGAGAGGGGAAGAGACGTCGATTCTTTGGTCTCCGTCTCCATGACACACTCAATGCATATTCCTTGCCATAAACAATCTGATGCGTTTGAATCTGCCACGGTGCGCTTAAAGGCAGCGGGACAACTCGGTCCTCTCGGAACCCACAGTCAGGCCTCAATGGCTCCTTAAAGTGGCCTTAATGGCACCGAGCTGCCCCTCTGTTCTTTTAGTGAAATCCAGCCCATTGTGCGCGGCCCAGGCGTATGTGACGCACGAACGGACCGTTAAGCTTTGTTAGCCAATGCGCCCGATCCCGCCTCCCGTATAGGAACGCGAATCGACCGTGTTACGGAACTCACTCGTCTCGTTGTGCCTTAGGGCTCAATCTCGAGCTCCGCCAGCAGCCCCATAGCAGGTAGTGATATGGGCAGAATAACATTGCCGACAAAGACAAGGGATACTGGGATGATTATTTCTGGCTTATTAATCGTGGCTCAGTGGTTAGGGGCGTTGGACCTCTAACCAACAGGTCTCGTGGTCGAGCCTCAGGGGTTGTACATCTCGGGGCTGAGTATGACTGGCTGACGACGGCTTATAAGCCAGAAATGACCATTCCAGTCCCCTTTGCCTTTGCCGGTAGTGTCATTCTGCCTATATACATATACGGTGCGTGACCGATCTCATGAAATGTCGGCCAAAATTCTGGAATGTGTTTCCGATTAGGAAGGATTACTTAGGTGGGGTTGTTATACTGATGATTATCATGCAGCATAACCCTATAAAATTTCGGACTTGCCAGGATGTCGGCTTTTGAATGTACTTCTTTTTGACCTCCTACAGAAAGCACACTCGGTAAAAGACGACTACTTAGGTAGCACGCATTTTTCCTATTGATTTTCGATGGTCTTATAAAGTCAAATATCTTTTACAGAAAACATGCACAAAAATATGCCTTCTTTTGCTCATTTGATTGGAAATCATATTGTCTTCATATTTTATGCCAGAAGAAAGTGTATATTTAGGTTTTAAAAAAGTTTCCTGATTCCCGAATACTTTTCAGCCTAATCTGTCATTGCATCGGCGTTTAGCAATTTCAGTCTACAAGGCGCACGCCTTCCGCTTAGGGAAAATGATATATTCCTCTATGTCGTTAAGAAGATACCACATAGAGTTCATGAAATTTTGCAATGGATCCGGGCTGTCTTGTAAATTTCATTAGGAGCATTAGTAAACGGACATGTGCGGTCTTGCATGCATAGACATCGCACGGTGTTAAAAATCTCATAATTAGAAACTTTTTTAAAACCTAAATATGCACTTTCTTCTGGCATGAAATATGAAGACAATATGATTTCCTATAAAATTAGTAAAAGAAAGCATATTTTTGTCAACAAGGTGCCCAGAGAGGCCTATGCGTGCTTCGGACGAAATGAAATCCGACCTCATGACTTAAGCTGAGTCATCATTATGACAGACCTGGACAAGGAAGATGAGACGAATTGCTGTTGCATAAGTCTTGTCGAATGTGCCATCATCCTTAGGCGATTTCAAGACGTGCGGTGGGAGGACGCGACCAAAGCTGGGCGTGAATGCACTGACCGAACCTTTGCACTATGTCTACCGACAGCTGGCAGCTGCCTGCTCTGTCAACTTCACTGTGACATTCGATTTTGTGCACTGCAAGTTCCCCTTGGCTGATAGCGTTTGCTTGGAACAACTTCCTGCTGCGATCGTATTGTATGTATCTCACTTCTCGCCCACAACTGTTCTGGACGATCGTCTAATATTTCATCTGACCTTTCACAGGGATGCTTCCTGCCATCCATCTGCAACGTTGTTCACTTGATCCTTGCTTCTGATGTTGTCATGCCTGCAAGTGGATGCTGTCTGGCTGACTTTAACTGCACTAACGTCATCCTCCAAAATGCTGCCTTCCAAGTTCTCTGGAACGTGGTGTGTGAAGTCAACGGGCTTGCAAAACAGCTATTTCATCCAACGACGCCGTAAAAATCAAAGTGTTCTTGAACTGCTTAAAAAAACCGACACTTTCCAGTATCCCCGAGTGGGGGTGGCGATATCATCCCCCGAAATAATTCATTCCCCAAATTCTTCCTAACCTTCCAGTACGCCAATCGGACTGTCACGCTATCCTGATTTCCAGAGCGATCTGTGTGCCCCGATCATCCATCGGTGATTGGATATGTGCGGCTGTATGTAGAAGACCCAGAATAGAAATTTGAGTTTTACGCTGATTTAGGCAGGCAAAGAATCTCCTGGGAGCCACTTTTCTGTATTCTACGCACGTTCTATGCATTCTTGCTACTAACACATTTCTTAACTTTTGCACTCCTTCAGGCTTTAGTGGCGCCTCTCCACAATTCATTAGTGCATTGGCCTCCGTCACGCACCAAGGCCTTACACGTGAGCCACCAGGCCCGCCAATTCCGTCCACCGTGTCGGGCACTTTACGCGATTTCCTCCAACTTCCTGCCCCTGCGTATCCTGTTCAGTCACAAGCTGGAGCGACCAATTTTGCCCTCTCCAACGCCGCACAAGACCGTCCTCCGCAGCTTCTTGCACGCTATTCCGGCGTCAGTACCACCACAACATCTCCTTTCGGCAATCTGAGCTTCCCCGCTCCTCGAAGGGTCTATTACGCGCACATTGCCCTACCAATTGATCAGCTGGAGGCGTTAAAACAGGTTCAGGTTGCGTTCATTGGGCCACGCCTATGTGACCGACTGGACTTATCCCTGTCAGTGCCCGGTAACGGCACAGTCGCCGATCTCCTGGCTGAAGCTCGTCCCCACGTGACTTTGGTGGGCTCCGGGAAGCTTCGTCTGCTCGAAGTGCGCAACAACCGCATCATCAAGGTCTACCAGAACGACTTTCCACTGGAGAAGATCGAGTCACAACTTAATCGGTTCACCCTGGACAGCAGTGACAACCTCAAGAGTGGACTGCGTATTGAAGAGCTGCCCCTGGATGAGGTCACCCCCCAACCCGGTGAGGTGATAATCTACGCGGCACATTTCAATAAGGACCTCAGCGACACCTTTGGTGTCCCCTTCACAGTACGCATTCGAGACCAAGAGCCCTACAGCGCAGTGAAAGAACGCATTCGAAAGCGTTTGGAAGTGCCAGACAAGGAGTTTGATGCCTGGAATTTTGTTCTGGTGACCAAATCCAAGCCAATATGCATACCGAGTGAACAGGATATTCTTGTGGACACTGAATTCTTTGCTACCAGCACCACACCTCAGCCCTGGCTGGGCGTTGAACACAAACCCTACAAGAGACCTCGCTACGCTCCGAGCGAAAAACCGATCAAAATTCACAATTGATTTGCTTTCCCCATTCACTGCTCATGCTTCACTGCCACCACCACCATCGCCACTACAAATGCCTCCTTCATTCGGTGCTTTGTTGCTCCGAAAAGTCTGCTTCTTTTCTTCCACCACCACCACTACTACCACCGTTTCGTTCTTTTGGAGTTTCACTATCCTGTCAGAATTTTCGCTCCGCCAGTGAACATTTAAACATCCTTAAAAAGAGAGAGAGAGAGTGGGTGCGAGTGAACATACTTGTCGGGCCTCTTATTATTTCTTGTTTGTCGCCCTCAGATCTCGCGCACTCGAAAATATCTTCCTGTCTCTTCCACCACTTCCGCTGCCAGTCGAGCTTCATGATGATTGTGTTGTTGTGGGGTGCCATTACTGGCTAAACCGGAAATCCGTTTGTGTGTGTGTGTATGTATGTAGGAAGTCGTTTCAGTTGTCACCTCTTTTGTTTTTTGAGGAGGAAACGACTCCTGGCGGGTACACAGTGCGCTCACCTTTCACTTATCAATCCATGTGGTCTGCCGCCGAGGTGTCGTAGGCCGTGCGTGCAGAGTCGTTGTTCTAGCCATCACGGGATTTCGCGCGCTCTCACCTGCTTCCCTCTCATCACCCAGCCCGCCAAACCTCCCCGCCTCGCTGTGTATCCATGCTTACATATACGCATGTCTTGACACCGGGCCCAGGCGGGGGAGGAGGAGAGAGTGTAGGTAGATGCTACGCAAGTCTACTGGCACTATAAACCCCTGCGTAAGTCACCGTCCCTGCTCCCACCGCTGCTGCAGCTGTGGGGCACACGGTGGACATCGTCGAAATCGACGGTCGAACTGTCACATATACGCACAAACACACGCCATTGCCGTTATTTAGTAAGTTTCCAAGTCAGGTCAGAACGTGATCCGCATTACTGCATTTACCGTGATGTCGTTCAACAATACAGGGTTATGCTTTGCGGGCCATGAGCCTCCCTTACCACGCCACCGCTCGTTAGAAACCGCTTTGTCCTGATGGAGGTCCTCCTTCGGGGGATCTTCTGCATAAGCCAGCGCTCATGGCTACAGAGGCATGGATTCCGCAACCGTTGGGCTGTGCTCATATTCGTCGCCGCGGTCCTGGGGTGTTGGTGTGCATGCGACAGGCGGACAGGATCCATTCCAGACGTTTGCCGCACAAGTAATTGCGTGCTACCGCCAGCGGCGTCCGGTTGATGACCTGCGAACTGGTTGGCAAACGAGATGATTTGGACGGCATCTTCCGTCCTGGTTTTGAATTTTCCCCTTAATGAGAGTGCGCTTAATGGCCTTTTGATCCCATCAACTGTCGTGGAGTGATTGTGCCGGTTCCGCGGCACTTTTATCTTCAGATTCTGAAGTTTCGGGTATCTGTTAAGCTGGATAAGTGCACCAGAAATCTGTTTGCGCGCTTCGTATGTTGTTGGTGGTCTTCCGTCTGCTGGGCGACTTGTATATCGTTTCTGTAGGTTCTAAGGGTTTGTCAGCGGAGAGTATCTGATTATCAAATGAATTTTGCCAACCAATGACAGTTCGACCGTCGTTTCCGACAATGTCCACCGTGTGCCCCACAGCAAGGTGGAGCGATGACGATGACTTGCGCGTGAATTAGTTTATAGTGACAGTGGACTTGCACTGCATCTACCGGACTCTCTCCTCCCCTCCACCTGGACCCGGTTTCAAGACAGTCAAGAAGAACGGAGGCGGGGGGGGGGGTGCAGGTGGACGCTCCACTCCACACCCCCTGGTCCACACAGCAGATGACCAGGTTTTTTAACCAATAACAAGGGGATGGCTGGCACGGCCGGAGCCGCACCTGACTCAGATCCCATGGAGTGGGAGTGCCGTAAAGGCCACGTGATAGCTTCAAACGCGTCAGATTGTTTATAGTGAGGAAAATGCGTTGAGCCGCCAACCTCACTCTCCCTTCCGGGGCCCCAACCACTGTCCGAGCGGTTTAGTTGACTGGTGCGGGGAATGGGACCAACCAATGACGCCTCGCGACGATCCACTAGGTACCCTGCGTAATGCAAGCATGTAAGGCTTATTAGCTGCTGCACGTGTATTTCGTTTTGGGGAGACCAACGATTTTACCATCGTAGCACGCTTGTGATGTAGGTCATGTTTCCGAATCCACCTAGGACTACTCCGATGAACCAGACCTGATTATCTGTCTGTTTTTGAATAAGAGTACATAAGCAAAAGGAACACCGACGGATATAAGAGAAATGGGACCGACGTTTAACCAATCCCACCCGTACCCACTCTAGTGCATTCGACATCGACCAGCACTGGCTGCGGTGATCGTGGATATCCGGCGTCACGCACAAGTGGTGACTCATCGGTCACAGTGTATGGACTGAACCGGAATTCAAATCGTCGGTGGTTCTGCTTGAGGTTAGGACATGGCTGCCTTGCGACGGTGCATAGGCCACGTTTGTGTCGGTGGCCTTACAGGATCGACTGTCTGGTGGTGTGACGCTTGACAGTTTTCGTTTCACGGAATCTGCAGGGCAGATTTATTTAGACGAGGTCGGTCCCATCCCGCCGAGGAATTTGACTGCCTCAATGATGACCAGAGTTTGTATGTTCCATAAAGCCTAGCTGATTTTAACGGAGCTTGTGCAGATAGGCTGATATAAAGCTGTGTCAGGTACCACCAAGACTTATCCATGGCGATGTCATCATTGCAGTTCCTAAGGTCTCGTAGTTACCGAGGTATTCATGCAGTGTTGCAGAGTTACTGACACTAAATGCGCGACAAGGGTCAGAAGGTCCGGAGGTGGTCGTATGACACTTGACGATGGCGATAAAACCTACTAACTATTTTTAGGTACGACACCATCGGCGGAGGTAGTGTCTTTTCATTTGAAAACGCCAACTTGTCGCGCCCGAGGACATGATCTCAAGATAATCTACATTTGAATGCTGATTTGTCATCGGAAATAGTTCCTGTCACCCGAGCAAATCGCAATTCAGAAAAGGAAAATGTAAGTAGTTTCTCACAACAGTGGTCTCGTCGTTGAGCGCCCTTCTCCCATTGTATATTCCCGATCGAATGCGGCACGACAACGAGCCCGCGGCTCAGTGGTTAGAGGCGTTGAACTTCTAAATAACAGGTTGCGAGTTCGAGCCCCAGGTGTTCCAGACCTCGGGGTTGGGTATGACTGGCTGCCGACGGCCAACAAGCCAGAAATGGCCATTCCAGTCTTCCTTGTCTTTGTCGATAATAACATTTTGTCCCATCGTATTCCCGACACCGGCATTAGCGAAAGGCCTGAGCTCGTGTTGCGCCCGTTTCTGCCGCTGCATGAGGCAGATGCACGGGGGCTACATCGGATTCTGGCAGGCGTTATCAGAGTGCACATCATAACAAATGCCAACGTTCAGGATGCACTGACACGCCTAGGTGCAGGTTTATGCCGTGCCAGCCACCTGCGCCATCTCCGGCCTCTGGTTTTCTTGACTATGTCTTGACACCGGATCCAGTTAGTGGAGGAGGAGAGAGTGCGGCAGGCGCTGCGCAAGTCGCCGTGCCTGCCCTCATCTTGCAGTGGAACACGCGGCAGACATCGTCCGTCACGATGGTCGAACTGTCATGTGGTTTCCGGCAGAAGAACTCCAAATACGAATGTTAAACTAATCGTTCCGCAAATTATTAGGACGAGGGCTTGCATATAGGTTCCCAAAACTCGACTGTTGCTTCAACCTCAAAATTGTGATGAACCCTACAACCGTGTTTGAACTTTCAGCTGGTTCATGCATTACGAATGTGATGAAACTGCTGCTGTACAAGGGTGTACTATTATAAGAATTACTCATTTAGGGAATGGGTATTTCGCGGTTATTTTACGGCACTTTTTCGTCCCCTAGTCAGATTTCCATTAATCGGGGCCAACCATAGAAAGCATCACCTCAGGCACTTCGCCCCTGTACTCCTTTGATCGGTACTCACGCCTTGTTTAGACCCTGTTTCTGCTCTCGCGGCGCGGGACGTCTTCTCTCGTCCAACTGCCAACTTATTCCAACCGATTCACAATTCTTTCTGCGCAGAATATAGTAGCCCCTCAACTGGCGTCCAGCACCCCTTTCTATCCAAAATCGGGCCTGAGGGTCATAGTGGCTAGGGCCTCCCTATGACAAGCTGTCGCGAAATTGGTGACCCCGACGTGATCGAAACGCAACTGCCAGACGTGGCTGAGCTCGGTCATCACGAAATCCCATCACGACTTTATCCCGCTGTGTCAGTTAATGTGTCCGAGGATAGAAAAACGCGGTTGCTCTTATTTTAGCGTCAGTCGAGATGGATGTCGTTAAACAACCTCAACCTATCGAGTTCAGGTCGTTGTTCCGATCCAATCTCACAGAGCGATCCCTCCCTCGGTGCCAGCACCCGGAAGTCATTCCCGTTATCAGATATATTACGCTTATTCGACCGTCGTACCCGAAGATATCCACCGTGTGTTCCATAGCAAGTTGAAACGGGCACGGTGACTTGTGTGTGAATTAGGTTATAGTGAGGGTGGGCTTTCGCAGCATCTAACTCACTCTCCTTCTCCCACCTGGGTACGGTGTCAAGACATAGTCAAGAAGGCCGTAGGCGGGAGAAGACGCAGGTGGCTAGCGCGGCCGACCCCGCAACTAGGCGTACCGCCACACCCCTGGTCCACAACAAACACTTGACCAGGATATTAACCAGCAACAGCAGCATCACAACGGTCCAGAATGACGACAAGGATGACTCGGCAGCTATGTTTATAACATGTATACCCCACAAGAGCGCATGCCAGGCTGCGAGAGCTATGGTTTGCTGATCGTGACGTAGCAGATGCCTTCGAGCCAGGTTTTACTAATTGCTCCTCCCTTGACTTTCAGCCAGCAAATTTTGGGAGTTGAAGTCTGCAGATATGCCGTACTTACAGCACAGGTACTAGCTAAAAACCCAGGCACGGTTGTTTCGTCGATGTTGTGCCGCGTTCTGATATGTGAGCTCCA